GCACAGGCTCCACAGCTTTGTCACCACCCTTCTGCAAATCAACGGAGACAACATCTGTCTCAACAACCTGAGGCTCTGAGATACTCACAGCAGTGATCTCGCCTACCAAAGTGTCTGTTGATGGCGACTCCACACTTTCCAGACTGCCTTCCTCTACAGAACGTGTCGCCTCATGCGCAGCCTCTGGCAACAAGGAGCACAAAGCTATCTGCTCGTGGGCAGACTTTGGCACGCCACCAACCTCTGGTGATGCACTCAAAGAAAAGACCATCTCATCCGGCTCTACAGACTTGCCAACAACAGTTGTCTGCAGGTAAGAAGTGATGAAAGAAAAGGGCACAGGCTCCACAGCTTTGTCACCATCCTTCTCCAAATCAAAACAAACAACATCTGTCTCAACAACCTGAGGCTCTGACGTACTCACAGCAGCAATCTCACCTACCAACGTGTCTGTTGATGACAACTCCACACTTTCTAGACCACCTTCCTCTGCAGAAGGTGCCGCCTCATGTGCAGCCTCTGGCAACAAGGAATGAGAAACGCTCTGCTCATGGACAGACTTTGGCACATCGCCAACCTCTGGTAATGCACTCACAGAAGAGACCATCTCATCTGGCTCTACAGACTTCTCAATGACAGTTGTCTGCAGATAAGGCGTCATGAAAGAAAAGGCCAAGGGCTCCAATGGTTTGTCACCACCCTTCTGCAAATCAACAGAGACGACTTCCATCTCCACAACCTGAGGCTCTGAGATACTCTCAGCAGCTATTTCGCCCACCAAAGCATCTGTCGATAACAGCTCCACGCTTTCTAGACCACCTTCCTCTGCAGAAGGTGCTGCCTCATGCGCAGCCTCTGGCAACAAGGACCATGAAACTAAATGCTCATGGACAGACTTTGGCACACCTCCAACCTCTGGTGATGCACTCACAGAAGACACCATCTCATCAGGCTCTACAGACTTGTCTATGACAGTTGTCTGCAGGTAATGCGTCATGACAGGAGCGGGCACAGGGTCCACATATTCATCACCACCCTCTGGCAAATCAACAGATACAACATCTGTCTCCACAACCTCAGGCTCGGAGATGCCCTCAGCAGCGATCACACCTACAGAAGTGTCTGTTGATGACAGCTCCATGCTTTCTAGACCACCTTCCTCTGCAGAAGGAGCCGCCTCATGTGCAGCCTCTGGCAACAAGGAATGCAAAATGCTCTGCTCATGGACAGATTTTGGCACACCGCCAACCTCTGGTGATGCACTCACGTAAGAGACCATCTCATCCGGCTCTACAGACTTGTCGACGGCAGTTGTCTGCAGGTAAGGCGTCACGGAAGAAAAGGGCACCGGCTCCACAGCTTTGTCACCAACCTTTTCCAAATTAACAGAGACAACATCTGTCTCAACAACCTCAGGCTCTGAGATACCCTCAGCAGCGATCTCGCCTACCGAAGTGTCTGTCAATGACAGCTCCACGCTTTCTAGACCACCTTCCTCTGCAGTAGGTGCTGCCTCATGCGCAGCCTCTGGCAACAAGGACTGTGAAACTATCTGCTCATGGACAGACTTTGGCACACCTCCAACATCTGGTGATGCACTCACAGAAGAGACCATCTCATCCGGCTCTACAGACTTCTGGACTGTAGTTGTCTGCAGGTAAGGCGTCATGAACGAAAAGTGCACAGGCTCCACAGCCTTGTCACCACCCTTCTCCAAATCGACAGCGACAACATCTGTATCCACAACCTCAGGCTCTGAGATACTCCCAGAAGCGATCTCGCCCACCAAAGTGTCTGTCGATGACAACGCCACACTTTCCAGACCACCTTCCTCTGCAGAAGGTGCTGCCTCATGTGCAGCCTCTGACAACAAGGAATGCGAAACTATCTGCTCATGGACAGACCTTGGCACACCGCCAACCTCTGGTGATGCACTCACAGAAGAGACCATCCCATCCGGCTCTACAGACTTGTCGACTGTAGTTGTCTGCAGGTAAGGCGTCATGAAAGAAAAGTGAACAGGCTCCACAGCTTTGTCACCACCCTTCTCCAAATCGACAGCAACAACATCTGTATCCACAACCTCAGGCTCTGAGATACCCTCAGCAGCGATCTCGCCTACCGAAGTGTCTGTGGATGACCACTCCACACTTTCTAGACCACCTTCCTCTGCAGAAGGTGCTGCGTCATGCGCAGCCTCCGGCAACAAGGACCGTGAAACTATCTGCTCATGGACAGACTTTGGCACACCGCCAACCTCTGGTGATGCACCCGCGGAAGAGACCATCTCATCAGGCTCTACAGACTTGTCAACTGTAGTTGTCTGCAGGTAAGGCGTCATGAAAGAAAAGGGCACCGGCTCCACAGCTTTGTCACCAGCCTTCTCCAAATCAACAGAGACAACATCTGTCTCCACAAACTCAGGCTCTGAGATACCCTCAGCAGCGATATCGCCTACCGAAGTGTCTGTTGATGACAACTCCATGCTTTCTAGACCACCTTCCTCTGCAGAACGTGTTGCCTCACACGCAGCCTCTGGCAACAAGGACCGTGAACCTATCTTCTCATGGACGGACTTTGGCACACCGCCAACCTCCGGTGATGCACTCACAGAAGAGACCATCTCAGCGGGCTCTACAGACTTGTCGACTCTAGATGTATGCTGGTAAGGCGTCCTGAAAGAAAAGGGCACCGGCTCCACAGCTTTGTCACCACTCTTCTGCAAATCAATAAAAATGACGTCTGTCTCCACGACCTGAGGCTCTGAGATACTCTCAGCACGGATCTCACCTACCAGAGGGTCTGCTGATGGCACCAAATCTTCAACACTGTCCAGAACACCAGCCTCTCGAGAAGGTGCTGCCTCGTGTGCAGCCTCAGGCGGCAAGGAACATGGAACCATCTGCTCCTGGACAGACATCGGCACACCGCTAACCTCTGGTGATGCATTCACAGAAGAGACCATGTCACCAGGCTCCACAGACTTGTCAATGACAGTTGTCAGCAGGCGAGGTGTGATGAAGTACAGGGGCACAGGCTCAACAGCTATGTCACCACCCTTCTCCAAATCAACAGAACTAACATGTGCCTCCACAACTTGTGGTTCTGAGAGGCTCTCGGCAGTAATCTCCCCAACCGAAGTATCCGTTGACCGCATTGTCGATGACTCAACACTCTCTAGAGCACCAGACTCTCCAGATGGTGCTGCCTCGTGTGCAGCCTCGGGCGGCAAGGAGAATGGAACAATCGCCTCCTGGAAAGTCTTTGGCACACCACCAACCTCTGAAGATGCATTCACGGAAGAGAGCATCTCACCAGGTTCAACAGACTTGTCAACAATAGTCGTCAGCAAGTAAGGCATCATGGAAGAGAAGGGCTCAGGTTCAAGAGCTCTGTCACCGCCCTTCTTCAAATCAACAGAACCAGCATGTGCCTCCACAACTTGAGGCTCTGAGACGCTCTCACTTACCTCAGCAGCGATCTCGACCACCGATGTGCCTGTTGATGGCATAGAGAACTCCACACCTTCGAGAACATCTCCATCTCTAGAAGGTGCTGCCTCATGTGCAGCCTCGGGAAAAGTCATCTGCTCCATCGCTCTACGCACTGAGTAGGGCGGCTCACAGAGGAACTCCTTACCATCCTCCAGTGGCAAGTCATTGGGAAATATTGATTCACAAGGTTCAACAGATTCCCCAGCAACATTAGCAGACAAGGAAAGTGCGATTGACAGACCCGGTATAGGTTCGATAACTCTGTCAGAATCCTGCTGCAAATATGGTGAACCGATGAATTTGTCCACCACAGGAGGCTCCATGAACTGGTCTTCATACTTAACATTGACCTCCTCCACTCTAGCGTCCGTGACCGGCATCAGATTCTCCTGAATTTCAAAAGCCAGTGCATCTCCGGAAGGTGTTGCCTCGGCTGCCGCCGAGCATGGAACCAATTGATCTAAGACACTGCCATGAGCAGACTGCTCTGCAGATCCATACAGGGCATCCATCGATGGTGTGGCATCGAGCAGGGGCAAGTGTACAAAAGGTACCATCTCACAGGGCTCCACAGATTCTTCAACAATATGTCCAGGTGACTCTGGTGCACAAGGCATCATCAATGGACAAGGCAAAGTCTGGATGTCTTCGCCGCCATCCTGCCCCAATTGGGTGGAACCACCGAGCTCATCCAGGACCGGGGGCTCTGAAAGGGGCCCGTCAACCTTGCCCGCATCAACGGTGGTGTCAGAAACGAGCAGTGACACCTCGACCTTCCCTGGAGCAGCTTCATCTCTGAGCGGCATTGCCTCGGAGGCAGCCTCTGATGGGAAGGACAAGTGAAGAAGTTGTTCCGCGGTTCTATCCGCATGATATGGTGGCTCAAGTAGAAACTGATTGAATTGGCTTTCAAGGTCTGCTTTACCCGCTACCAGTTCACAAGGTTCTGCAGATGCCTCTGCAACATCCTCCTCGTCACTGTCCATCATCAGAGGATGCAACACAGGCTCCGCCGTCTCGTCACCACCATATTGTACATTCACAGAATCAATGACACTCTCCACACTGGGTGGTTCTTTAAAGTGTTCCGCAGTAGTGACCGAGATCTCATCCATTGTGGTATCAGTGAAGGGTACTGGCTTCTCTACAGCGTCGGAAAGACCATCTCCAGAAGGCATTGCCTCATGGGAAGCCTCAGGGAGCAGAGAGGACGGGCCTTGCTGCTCCCAGTCACCACCTACAGAAACTATTGAATCGTCAACGAACTGCTTGAGCGGACTAAGATCCTCTCTGCACAAATCAGCGGGCGAGATAAATTCACAAGGCTCTGCCGACTCCTCTAGCATGCTTTCAGAGGCACCTGGTATCATAGTAGGATAGGACACGGGATCGACAGCCTTCTCACCACCCTGCTGCAGTCGGGCAGAATCAATCAGCTTGTCAACAACTGGAGGCTCTGGCAAGCGCTCTTCAGCCTCGCTTGCAATCTCTTCAACTGCAGTGTCAGTAACAGGCATCAACTTCTCCGGAGCTTCAGGAGCAACTTCATCTCTTGATCGCTTTGCCTCAGCAGCAGCCTCGGGAGCCATTGCTTCTAACAACTTGCGTGAAAAATACGATGGATCGGAGATGGACTGATTCAAAAGAATACCATTCTTCAGTGACAGATCCACAGCAGAGATCAGCTCACATGGCTCCACAGATTCCTCCACAATAGTTGCAGCAGGTTCAGGCAACGTCTGCGGGCATGGCATAGGCTCGACAGACTTGTCCCCGGTTTGCTGCAAGTGGATGTCATCCGATTCCGGTCTTACAGAATCTTCCCAGGCTTCCTTGGGACTCCCATCTTCCACATCCTCAGAAAACGCCAAAAACTTCTCTGCTTCCTCCGTTTCTGCCACAACTCCACGTGGTGCAGCCTCCCCAACAGCCTCTGCAGGCAACATCGGTGGGGCTGCTACATCTGACACGCAAGAAGGGCATTCTGCATCACTTGAAAACTCTCTAACTCTCCTTCCGAGCGCCGTGTGTGCATCATTCATCACTTGGACGGGTTCAGAAGACGTTTCTGCAGAGGGTCTTTTTGATACGTCCGGATATAAAAGCACTGGCTCAAGATAGTCATCAACATCCTGATCTGCCCTTCTACTGTCTCCAGCCTGAGAAGGAGTTGGCAGTCCCTCTGGCACCGCCTCATAACTTGCTGCTTGAGACCCACATTGTGCCTCAGCTTCCAAGAAAGGCAAGGCAATCTCCACGCCTTCTGCATCCGCTAACACATCCTCGGAAGGTGTGCTCTCAACAGCGGCCTCAGGCGATGGGTGGTCCGACTGGGACACAACCCTCAGCAACAAAGACCCGACGCAGAAAGCGGAGGAAAGGACGTCTGTCACCGGTGACTCACACGGAACAGAAAGACCCGTTGATGAGGTTTCAGAATAATTTTCGCCTGCGGTTCCATACTGCTGTGGGAGATCTGCTGGTTCTACACAGGCATCAGGCAAACCCCTGCTTGAATCCTCTGCAGAATCATCCTGAGCCAGACACAGTGAGCACTCCCCAGCACTGCTGTACTCCACCCCCATGTTAATCGTCGGGCCTTCGAAAGTCGTGACCACTTCCACAGGGTCAGGAACCATCTCTGAACTCATAGGCACGGCCTCCACTAATTCCTCCGAAGCCAAAAGGCGCACGGCTTCCGCAACATACAGAGCAGATTCAGACTCCAGACCAGGAGGAGAGGCGATCTCATGCGCACTGGGCTCCAGAGATGGCTGACGCTTAAGATCACAACTGTGCAAAACAGACAACATCGGATGGACGAGCTCGTCAGTCTGCCCAGCCCGAATTCCGTGCAATTCTCCATCTGCGCGCTTGGAGGACGATCCCACTTCAGCAACTGACGACTCCGGGATCGCACAAGTGACATCACCTATCTCAACAGACCTCTTTTCAGACTCTCTGAATTCATCCATTGTCTGCTGCATTTCAACCGGCATATCCATGGTCCGCCTTTGTCCGGTCCCTTCGAAGAAATCCTGCAGTGTGGTTGCTCCAAACTGGCCAGAGGCAGGATCACCAGCAGCATCCATCAGGGAAGGTCGGACCTCACAACAAGGATCTATAGGCTCGATTGACACCTCCATTTCCGGCTCTCGGCCACACACATCCCATGTGCCAGTAGAAAGACATTCGACTGCATGTGTCTCCTGTCTAGAGAGGTCAGCAACCGCCTCTGAGTCCAAAGGAGCACTTGCAGAACCGGCACCCCCGTGTTCAATTGACAGCACAGCTGTGCTGATCACTTCTCCAGCTCTCAAGGCCATGCCTGTGTCAGCCTCCATTTCTGCAGGTTCTGCTGCTCTGGCTGGTTCCTCCTTAGCTGCATCTTCTGTTATGTGTGGTATCGCAGGGATTGCAACCATTTTCATTTCTCTAGAGGAGGTTTCGAACCCTTGACCATGAGAAACTGCAGGTGTAACAGATTCCTCAGGCTGTGAATCATCAACGCCCGAGACAAGCGTCTCATGCACTGTTGCTGGAAAGACCAGGCCCTTGTCATAGAGAACAGAAAATGCGTCTATGGTCACAACTGACTCTCCGCACTGCGGCAAGAAGTCCTCTGAAATGTCCCCGCGAATCCTAGCCTCCCATCCCTCAGGTTCCACTTGGACTGGTTTCTGAGCTGGAACAGCTTCATTCACAGGTTCATGAACTAGCCCATCCTCAAGGAAACAAATGATCGATCTTTCATCATCCGCATGTGGCACAACCACACTTGATGCATCGTTGTCCAGCCCTGAAGATTCCCCTGTTGGAAGTTGAATGACACTCTCCTCCATCTCAGGCGGATGAGAAATGTCTAGCTCCTGTCGTTCTTCTGACAGCTGCCCAACAGGTTCGTACTCTGCTTTGTCTGCACTTTCTGTGCTTCTCCCATGCTCAAATGTGTCCCTGACCAACTCCAAAGCAAGCACTGAAATCCTCTCATCGTCCGGCGCAGCAGTGTCCATGCCCGATGACGTCGATGACAGGGATGTTACACCTTCAGGTGTATAGCCTGAGCTCAGGTGTGGATAAGACGCCTCCTCCTGAGCACATTTGACTTCTACAACTTCAAGTTTCGGCTCTTGCGCTGGCTGTACTGGTGCAACGCATAATGTCTCAGATCTAAGATCATGCCCAACTTCAGAGGTTATGGCAGAGCTTCGTCCCGCGGCACCCCCAGCTGAAGGAGTGGGATCAACTGCAGACTGCGTGTCCTGATAGGCCTTTCCATCAATAGCGACGGAAATATCAAAGCCTGCAATTGACGGGGAAGGCAATACGTTGCCGTCCACCATCTTGCAAGAAACAGCTAGCTCAGGCTTTGTTACCGAAGCTGGTTCGAATTCCCCTCCCTGCTCACAACAATGCCCAAGCACACAAAAGGACTCGCCGATTTTCAGCACTGAATGCACAAAACGTATTGGACAAGTGAAAAACAAAACAGCAAGCCAGTGCAAGCCATGACAAACACAAAGCCATAAATAGTAAATACACCCCAGGAACACAAACCGGTTCCAGTACATCCCAAATAATTAAACGCTCCCAAAGTTTTAAGTGCAACAACGGGACATCCTCTAAAGTTGGAACGATACAGAGATGATTAGCATGGCCCCTGTACAAGGATGACACGTAAATCACGAAATTGTCCAAATTAAAAAAAAAAAAAAAAAAAAAAAAGTTTAAAAAACTGCATTCATATGGGATGTAACAGAGGCAAAAGAAGGAACAGAGAGGCCAGAAGAACAAAACTGAGCAATAAAGAGCATGAAAAAAATGAAGGAACAACAGTGGCGAAAGAAACAGCACCGAACCACGAGTAACGAAACAAAACAGACCAAGAAAGACAAGGAAGGAAGGGAGGACGGAAGGAAGGAAAAACAAGAGGCAAAAGAAAGAACAGAAAGTTCAGAAGAACGACACTGAGCGATAAAGAGTAGGAAGTGGGGAATAAGAGAGGCAGAAGAACGAATAGCGAGCCTACAAGAATGAAAGCAAGGGAGAAAAAGGAGGGAAGGAAGGGAGACAAGGGCACATGGCAAAGTGAGGACAGAGTTTCCCAAGGGACCACAGTAGGGTAGCATCCAACCTGAGAAATCTTCACTGGTCCTTCAACCACAGATCCACCGTCCAAGCCCGACAGAGGTGGCAATGCAGCAGACTGTTGCGGATCATGGACCGCTTCTGCTGCAGGTTCATTTTTTATGGCTGCAGAACTCTCCAGACCCTCAACACATGGCTCTAGTGGTCCCTCCTCTAGTGGTCCCTCCTCAGCACCTTGCAATTGTTCAAGCACAACGGCTTCTTTCAGAATATGACCTGCAACCATATCCGACTCGACAAATGTCCTTTCCGCACCTTCAGACGGCATTTCCTCAATTTCCACCATCCCAATGGAATCTGATCGTGGTGAGGCCTCGCCACCAGGCTCGACCAACATCCTTGAGCTGTCTGCAAGGCTTAGCAAGGACAGTGAATCCCCAGCTTCAGGAAGGTGCAAGTCAACCATTTCACCCACAACAGAAGGCTCAAATGCCTCATCAATTACAGATGGCATAGTTATGTGTTCAGAGTCTTTCCGGGTAAAGATTGGAGGCTTTAGCAGAACATTCGCTTGGTCACCGTACGTTGGCCCAGACAACCCTTCAGCCATCTTGTCCGGTCTTACCACAACCGATTCTGTACCCAGTCCCCTAATCGTGTCAAGTTTCAGTACATCGTTCACTTCTAACCACCTCCCCATGATGTTGTCTTTCACCTCTTCCCCTTGAATGCCCTGCTCGTCAGTACTATTTCGTGGCGCTGCTAGAAATGCTTCCATACTCCAAGCTTTGGTGTGTTCTGGGCCTGCAGATGGCGACACTGGCCCCGGATCATGTTGGACGTCGGAGACGGTCAACGTTGGTGCCACTGACACCTCCACTAAGTCACTTGGTAAGGCTGTGGCCCCCTGTGTATGCTGAAACAACTGTTCCATGCTTGGCTCTGCAGAGGCCATCTCACCAAGTTGACTCTCAGGCTCTCTATGCAGGACAGAATCCCTGGAAGGAACAGGGGGAGCCCGAGGCATTTCAGAAAGTACCTCTGGTTCCTCTACAAGGGCTTTGTCATCCACAGTGCTGTCCGCTTCAGACACAGAGGTTGCGAGATCCTTCCGTTCTGCCTGAGTTGCACCCTCCAGTGCATGGGTTCGCTGCGCATCGCGCAACTCCCTGGGGGTAACTTGCTCCTCCCCACTTCCGACATCCTCAACAATACTGCCACCCATTTCCGGCTCAATCGAAGGCTCAGTTATGACATACCCTGCTACCTCAACGGCATCCCCGCGACTGGAATCCAAGGCAACATCTTCGCCTTCGGCAGGGTAATGTGCCACAAAAGGTTGATCTTCACACACTGAAGATTCTTTGAGTGAAAAAGGGAGGAGCTCAATTGACTCAGAGAGACCCACCTCAGTTTGGGAAGCCCTGTCATCGACCATCGGGATATCCAGTACCCTTTCGGGTCTGGCCTCAGCAAAAGGCTCAGGTTGATCAGACTGCCTATGACTTAGAAGAGCAGGGACAAGGTCCTCTTCGGGTATATGAGCACCCATAAGATTGCTGAAGGAGTCTTCTACGGAAGATCCCACGGCAAAGAACGACGACTTGGGCTGAACGACCGAATCAAGCTGTGGTACAGAAACTGGGGCTGGCATTGCAGCAAACAGCTGCGCGACAAGCTCTGGCTCCAATATGTTTCTCGATGGCGAGCCAGCGCTTGGGATGTCAGACACATCAGCAAAACTGAGTTCTAGTCCAGAATCATCAGGTGGGGAATGATACTCTTTTATTGACGGAACTTCTAACATCGGTGCAAATTCCTTCGCGGAGCTTGGTGCAGTTACTCCGGGAGCAGTATCTCCTTCAGGGAGATGCTCCGCCACTCTTTTGATCTCCGAAGGATCAATGGACGGCTCCACGAAAGAGATAGCAGTAGCACCAAACGCCTTTGAAGCTCGGTAATCTTCAACAAAACCATGATCACCGGGTGGCACAGCAATTTCCTCCAGCTCCACCACGGGCCTCTCGGGTTGTGGATCCGTCAACACCTCTGGAAACGTTGAGGGCTCGCAGGCAGGAACATCCAGAAGGTCGATCGCCATGACCGCTGGCACCCCTTTGCGAAGCAACTCTGATGTGCTCGGAGATCGAGGAATACTGTTTAGGCGGCTTAGCTGCCGGTCAACCGCAACTGACATGGGTCTCTGGAAATCAGGTGGCAGATATGAACCTGCTCCAGCCATCCTGGGGTCCATTCCAGGGCCATGGAAGCCCATCCCAGGTGCTCCACCATATGGCGAGGCCCCAGGCATAGGCATTGGCATACCTGGAAGCCCACTATACATCGCTGGCCCCGACCCTGATTGAGGCCCAACGGGCATCCCACCATATGCTCCCGGCGGGCCTGACATGGGCATCATCCCTCCTCCATATTGTGGCACCCCACCATATTGCCCCGGGACCCCTGGCCCTCCAGGGTATTGCGGTCCATATTGCGACGGTGCCCCTGGAACTCCATAGTGTGGCGGCGGCGCTCCCATTCCACCATATTGTGGTGGTGCCCCTGGCATTGGCCCATACGGTTGAGACATACCAGGCGCCGCACCATATTGTGCCGATGCGCCTGGCATTGTACCTGGTGCTGCACCATATTGTCCCGATGTTCCCGGCACTGCACCATAAGGTGGTGATCGGCCTGGCACCCCACCTCCATACGGGGGTGACGAGCCTGGCATCCCCGCATATGGTTGAGAAGACCCAGGCATTCCACCATATGATGGCGCCCCCGGCATTGCGCCATATTGTGGCACCGACCCTGGGGCTCCTGGATATGGCCGCGATGGCCCCTGCATTCCACCATATGCTGGTGATGCCCCCGGCCCTCCATATGGCCCTGGAACTCCACCCCCATACATCCCCTGTGACGCCATGTGCCCCACAGGCATGCTGCCGTACCCTTGCGGCGTACTTCCCATGGGAGCCATACCAGGCATCCCACCATACTGCTGTGATGGACCTGGTGCTCCCCCCCCAGGCTGTGCACCATATCCCTGCAACGGCGCCTCCACATTTCCTCGCGGACCATGAACCGGCGCATTGTAGTGCCAGGCTCGTTCATGGCCCGCCATCGACTCCCAGCTCTTCCTTTAACCAGGAGTTCCAACCCCAGTCACTCATCAAGCTCTTCACGTTAGCAGTGGAAAATCCACCCAGCCCTTCCAATCAGCTCTTCACTGGCATGGCAGTTGCATACACTTCTCTTCCAATCAGACTTCCAAACGCAGTGCCATATATAATTCTTGTTACAATGTTTGGCCGTGCCATCATCATTCCATGAGCCCAACTTCTGCACTATACTGCTGGGCTGAAAAAGGTCCTTTTGGCCGTGCGTCCTTTCTCTTCATGCATTGCTGACCAATTGAAACTTGAAAGTCTTCGAGTATCATACATGCTGTACACTGTACTTCCTTGTCCGGTACCCTCCCCAGCATCATAACATAACTTAAAACAGACCTGCATATCATTCCACAAACACGATCCACAACCTAGCTGCACCACCACCACACAAACCACAGACACAAACATTTGAGAACTTCAACTTGATGAAGCAAAGGTTCATCCAGGCAATACTCAGACTACGACTTTCTCTACCGATTTCAGAGCGTGGTTGCGGTCAGATTCACTCAGCCTGGCCGTCATTGCAGTCAGATGCATTCAGGAAAGTGCTGGTGTGAGTATGCACTCAATTCCACTCCAGTTCTCTTTTTTCCAGGGGCATGAGGAAGTTCAATCTATTATGTGGAGGCATCGGCCGTTTCCTTTTCCATCGTCAAGGCATACCGTAATTTTGAGGGGGGCCACCGGCCGTTTCCTTTTCCATCCTCAAGGCATACCGTAATTTTGAGGGGGGGGCACCGGCCGTTTCCTTTTCCATCATCAAGGCATACCGTAATTTTGAGGGGGGCCACCAACACAGCATAAATTTAATGTGAGGAGGGCCCACATTGCGCTCATCATTCCTTTTTCCGCCAGCAACTCACATAAGTTACATCAAAGAACCCACTTGCCACACCCCCTCCTTTTTCATCCTGGGAGTCCCATCTTCGCCTTTGCAAATCAAACCATACTCGGCACTGGAACAGCTTAAGCTTTACAGCCAATATCATCCTGCCACAGTCGGGACTTCGATTGCTTTTACCAATCTTAAAACACCAGTACGATGAATGTTTGTGAGGTCACGTGAAAAAAAAAAAAAAAAAAGGTACCATCCTGTCACCGACTGTGGCTGCTTTAACCAGTCTTAAACCACCAGTACCTCGGAGTCACTTTTTCCCGTGGCGGATTTCCACTGCAAGCCCGAAAAACCAAACCAGCACGGGTACGTTTTCTTTCTTGTTTTGGCTGACACCGCCAGCCATTTTGGTTTGGTAGCACTGTTCATCTGAAAATCTCGCGGTGTTGTTGCAAAAATTTTCCTGGGAGAGGTACTAGTAATAATACAAAATAATTAAAAGAATTGCCTGGGAGAGGTACTGGTAATAAATACTAATAATACAAAATAATTAAAAGAACTGCCATGCCCCCAAGATCAGCAAACTTGCCCCATGAAGCCTGCAAGAAGAGTCCTCAATATTAATAATAACAAGTGGACCCGCCACAGCTTCGCTTGCGGCGTTAGGGTCATGGAGGAGGAAGAGAATGTTGGAAGTGTAAGAAGAAGAAGAAGAAGTGGGAGGAGTTTCAAGATACTGGAGAGGATGTTTCCAGCGGCAGTTCTCCCCCCCCTCCTCCCGTCGCCCCTCCCCCTCTCCATTGTCCTCTTCCTCGTTCTCCGCCTCCTGCTCCTCCTCCCATTTGTCCTCTTCCCGCTCCTCCTGTTGGTCATCCCTCCTCCCCATGCTCGTCATACACAGTAGCTAAACATGGCCCCTGCGCAAGAAGAAAAAAACAGAAGTTCAATCAGTCAAAATGTATCTGGTTCATAAAACCGTTCAGATACATGCCGAATATTGAGTAGCTCTGGCCCCTGGTCCTGTTCCCACGTGTTTTACTCCCTTTCATTCTTCCTCCCACACTCCTCCTCCTCCATTCCGGCTTCCCCTCTTCCTTCTCCCCCTCCTCCCCCTCCTCGACTGGCTCATCCTCCTCCCATTTGTCATTCTTCCCCTCCTTCCATTCGTCACCGTCCTTCCCGCTCGTTGTCCTCCCACTCCTTGTCCTGCGCCTGCGCCTGCCCCTTGTCGTCCTCCCGCTCCTTTTCCTTCCTTGTCCCGTTCCTCCTCCTGCTTCCCCTCCTTGTCTTGCAGTTCCACCTCCCGCTCCTCCTCCCATTTGTCCTCTTCCCATTCCTCCTGTTGGTCATCCCCCCTCCTTCTCGCGCTCGTCATACACAGAAGATAAACATGGCCCCTGCGCAAGAAGGAAAAAATGGCGTTCAATCAATCACCTCCTCGACCGACTCATACCCTGCGCAAGAAGGAAAAAAAAAAGGTTCAGTCAGTAACCTCCTCCACCAACTCATCCTCCTCCCGCTCGTCATTATCCCCCTCCTCCTTCCTTTCATCAACGTCCTCTTCCCACTCGCCGTCCTCCCCCGTGATCCTCCCCCGGTGGTCATCCTCCCTCTCCTCGTCTTGTGCCTCCTGCTTCTCGTCCTCCCGCACTCTTTTCCTTCCTCGTCCCATTCCTCCTGCTCCCCCTCCTGGTCTTGCTGTTCCACCTCCCACCCCTCCTCCTCCCATTTGTCCTCCTCCCACTGCTCCTGTTGGTCATCCCACCTCGCACTCGTAATACACAGAAGACAAACATGGCCCCTGTGCATGAAGGAAAAAAAGAAGTTCAATCAGTCACCTCCTCCACCGACCCGTCCTCCTCCTCCTACTCGTCGTTCTCCCCCTCCTCCTTCCGTTCGTCATCGTCCTCTTCCCGCTCGTCGTCCTTCCCCCATGGTCGCCTTCCCTCTCCTTGTCCTGCGCCTGCCCCCTGTCGTCCTCCCACACCTCTTCCTTCCTCGTCCCGTTCCTCCTGCTCCCCCTCCAATCAGTCACCTCCTCGACCGACTCATCATCCTCCTCCTGCTCATCATTCTCCCCCTCCACCTCCTGTTCATCATCGTCCTCTTCCCGCTCGTCGTCCTCCCGGCAGTGTATCTTTTCATGTAGCACAGCATTCAGCCCCATTTTACACACTTGGAGCAGTAGAGCGAGGCCCACGGGTCGCGCGCCCCCCAACCAGAAATCTCCAGAGACTGGCGGGAGCCCGAACCTTCCCCGGTTGTTGGGCGAGATACAGCATGCCGCAGCCATTTCTCTCTCCTTTTTTTCTCACTTTCTGGCCCAATTCTTTGTTGCTATTTTGGCTTTCCTTTTTCCGCATCTGCCCGTGCGTTGCCCTCACACAGCCGCCTGAAATGAAAGAAAGAAAAACAAACCGCAGCCACAGCCGACGACCCGAAACTCCCCCGGGACAGTGCGCCCGCCCCAGCGCGGTTCTGTGTGCCAACGAATTTTCGTGGGCCCAGCGGGGTCGTCACACTGGGACCGCTATTTTTTTAGGAGTTTATAGGGATAAAATCTGGCCTTGTCTTAGATCAACCACCACAACGACATCATGTAGAGACTGGTTGTGCTCTCCAGCACTACTGCAGTACTGCTTTCCAAGCACTCAATACTTACATTTCCAGTCAAAACTTTCGACAGATTGTTCATTTCTGCCCTCACTTTTTTTCTCATTCAACCACTGGTTCAAACAAGCCTAAGTCGGCGAATCTACCTTCCAAGCCTCACAAGCCTCTGCCTTCCACGTTCGCTTCCGGCTCAGGCGCAAAACGTCATCGCTTTGCAGTGTCGACTGGGTAAAACCCCTAGTTCGCTTTGGACGAATTGGTGTTTTAATTTTTAAGCGACAAAACTTCACATGCCCCCTCTTCCCACTACCAAAACCCTCACATGTCCTTTGGAAAAGATCAAAAATAAAATTTGACTACTTCAACGAATTCATACACCCTCTTCCCAATCAATACACAACTGAAAACTTTGCTATGGTGATGGTATTGGTAGTGGGGGTTGAGAATGGTGTTTTTCCGGGCTTTTCCCTGACCAGCCGTAAGGCAATGATCCCAACGAATCAACTGCAGTTGATTTACGTCTTATATTTTGTCCAGATGCCACACAAACTAAATTTTATTTACAAAAACGCGATTCCTTTTTGTTGCGGTGACTGACACACAGCCAAGTTCTATTTTTGCTCCGATGACACACATATCAATCCTCTCATGTTTTGCTGACTGACAACTAGATCTGATTTCATCTTGATGAAACACAAACACACGACCATTTTTTTCTCAGGGATATTGCTAGCTCTGGACAACTCGATGAGTGCTTATCCATTATTTGTCAAATGCATCCTGGGCAGACTGTCTTTCCAGGTTCGACCTGCTGATGAGTCAGATAAAGTCCAACGAAGCGGTATAGCGAACATGACAACACAAAAAAAAAGGCAGACCACAGCTGCATGAACACGACAAAGCAATGAAATATTCCATTCAAAGCAGAGTTAATCTGGGTTGTATTTCCAGGCGCCCGGGCACCCAACTTGTCCCTTGATGCACGCCCGGGTGCCCGGCCAGGCATGAACCCCAGCCACCGACCCGAGCAACCCAGCATAAAAAAAAAAAAAAAGGAATCCGGACCAAAAAGTATGTTCTGTAAAATTGTAATCCAAACGACTTTTGGCTGACGGTCACATCAGAGTTCCTCACAGAATTGAAGATCAAAAATAAATTTATAAAAAATATATATATATAAAATAAAATAAAAAACAGAATCAGACTAAGTCACTAAGGGGCATACTCACACTACCGTCGTCACCCAAATAGAACACCCGGTCACTTATCGCTGCAGTCGCTGTAGCTGCACACTAATACAGTGATAACGACCAGGCATTCATTTCACGTTATTGAATGAGCTGTGGACGTAATTTCAGTCAGATACATCGAGGTATCTCTGTGATCGCAGGACAGTCCCTAGTGTGAATACGCCCTAAGATGCTAACAGTGTGCATGTGCACTATGCTGTGCCATGCAGGGTACAGCGACGAGGATGAAACATACGGTCCCTCGGGACATCTCTTAAACGACCAGAACTCTACAAAAAAATAGACACTTGCTCTTACCGCGTATACGGGGTAAGACTCCGTAAGAGCATTTTGATGCGGCCCTGGGTCAGTAGTGAAAGCGGCAGGCCACTTTGAAAACGCACACTGGTGCAGGCTCGCGAGCCTTGGAAGGTAGATTCATCAACTTACGCACGTGTGAACTGGTCGTTTCAGATTGTAACGATACAGAGATGATTATTTAGCATGACCACCGCACACTTAAACCGCCAGTTCACCCGAAGCAGAATACTGCTCTTACCGGTTCACAAGATAATAAGAGCAAGCACTTCGATTTGAGCCTGGGCCGGAAGTGAAAGCAGCATGCCACTTTGAAAAGGCAAAGCTGCAGGCTCGTGAGCCTTGGAAGGTGTAGCTTCGTCAACTTAGGCTCATGTGAACTGATTGGCGGTTTTTAAACCACCAGTACACCCGGGCGTGGAGGAGGTCCACTGCGCAGCCAAGCTCTGCCGAACCGTCGGCGGCAAACTTTTTTTCTTTATTGGCTGGCGCAGTGGTGCAGCCGGCCGTTGTGGTCCGAAAGGCCCGAGGCACGAAGTTCTCGAAGTAGGCAGCGAAACATTTTCTGCAAGGCTGGGGCCTGTTTGTGCGGATTTTCCTACACAGCTCCAATAAAGAGTAGAACACGAATAGCAGTTAGTAACTTAGTGCATGAATTTTCATATTAAAAAAAAATGAAAGAAGGTTCCCACACAAAGGCACTAGCACAGGCAAAAATGGTTGAAAAGTCTACTGTTTCCGCCCTCTACTACACCATGGACTTTTATAAAATAAAAATAAAAAATAAAATAAAAAAATTGGAAGACAACCCATGATACCAAGAGCTAACCCAAAATCACCTACTCGATTCACAAGCATTGCTTTACGCGGTTTAACGATGACACGCTTAAATCGAGATACGGTCCAAATTTCAAAAAACACAAAACAAACAGAAACACAAGTAGATGAGACGTACCGCATTCCTCCTGCTTGATCTAGTGCCCAGTGCCTTGGCTTAGTGCCACCCCTTCTTTTAACTTCAGGATAGTCCATGGTTACATAGTGGAGTTTCTCAATAAGGGCAAGGTGTCCTGACAAGCCCAAGCGAGTGTATTTGGTGTGTGAAGATGCATCACCAATTTTCTCTGATATACATGATGTCTTATACCTCAGCAGAAGCATTGTGCAACCTTATATACATGCCCAGTACTCTATTCGTACAGCCGCAGAAACCCCATCAACAGCCTCCTGTCCTGCAGGTTAACCACAACCAACACACACAGCCCAAGCCCATAACGCGTTACATCATTGTGTTTTTTTTTTTTTTTCCCCTAGCTGACCACAGGTTACTACTGGGGAATAACAGCAGAGATATAGAGGCCCCACTTGCACTGATTAAGAGATGCTGGCTGTTGATCTCCGTTATCTTTGGCCGCTCTCTCTCAATCTGTGCAAATGGGACCTAGCCCCTGAGATGCAAAGGCCACGAAATGGGCGGTCAGCCACAGAGATAACAACAACTTGCAAACATGGAATTCCACCTTTCCAAAAGTTTGAAAAAAAGAAAAACAAAAAAAAAGAAAACAGTCGCAGAAGTTCAAGTTAAAGAGAAAAAGAGAGAATTAAAAAAAAGTTACAGAGGCTGAAAGCACCCTGAAAACAAGCACAAAGCCTCTCTCTCTTTTCTTAGGGGATGAATGGTTAAGGGGCCTATGTATGTGCATTTGGGCTCAGGGGTAGGGGGAGGGGGAGAAGGAGGGGGGGGGAGAGGACAATGAAAACAGATAAATACTTAAACACACAGCCCCCCCCCCCCCCCTCTTAGTGGCTTCGTGCATTTGGAAAACACAAAAACAAGAATGAAGTCGTGTCTCGACCCATCGGGCTCCATCCGTAGTCATTAGGTAGGCAGTCTAGCCTGTAGTTTGATTTCAAGATTTCATCAATACCGCTCACTGGACGCGGGTAACCTAAGCCGGATACCGGTCCCAGTAATTCCTTGTTCCCAGGTGGACCGTGGGGATCCCGGCAAGGTAAGTTCAAATTCTAATGAAAGGGACGATTGTTGAAGGGGCGCGGGGGAGAAAAGGGGGAGGGGAGGGGGAGGAGAGGGGATCTGGGCTCCGTCACATTTTGAATGTGTAGGATGCCATCATCGCGCCAACAACAAACTCAGTCCTAGAATCTCAAGTCTCATCGTGAGGAGAGAGGAAACTGGAGAATTTCATTAAAGAAATGGCTGTGCGTGGTCTGTTAGAGTGTCCAAGACGAAGTCCTACAGATGTTTCACATTTGTCACCATTTGTTTCATGGGCATCGTATCGGCATTAGGAGGCTGTGGAACAACAAAAAATGTTTTCGCATCCGTTAAACTTGGAATGGTTTCACATCCGTTAAACTTGGAATGATACAGAGAAGATAGATTAGCATGGTCACCGCGCAAGGATGACATGCATACATTGAGAAATGGTCCAAATTTTTATTTAAACAAAAAACAACGGCAATTTTGTAGGAATATCGTCATTCAACAAATCATGAACTGTATATAATTTCCGGAGGACATGTGAAAACATTTGTAGGAGTCATCCTGAGGTTTCGAGGAATCCCGGGCCATTTCTTTGAAATTCTTTAGTGTCCTCACCAGGTTTCGAGGAATCCCAGGCCATTTCTTCGAAATTCCTAGGGTTTCTAGGATAGTGGCACAAGACCCTTACTCTCCAACCCACCCCCCCACCCCCCTCGCCAGCAAAAGAGTTTGGCAAAGAAGTACATGCTTGTTTTATGGGTATGTGGGTGGGAGGTTGTTTTTTTTTTGACAGATGCATGCTCATCAGGTCGAGGACTCTAGGTCCAAACTATCCCAACTCTCCATCATTTTTTTGCACTCTATGCTAAAAAAATGGAAGAATCTGATAGGCAGGACATCAGCTCAGGGCATGCTCGCTCGCACATGGATTTTGTCAGTTGTATCAGGTCAGATGTCCGGGCCAGATTCAGTCTGGCAGTCCTTGTCTGATTAGAACCTCAGATGACTGGCTGACTGAATCTGGTAAGTGAGACGTCAGCATAGGACATATCGAACCACAAGTGAATTTTTTGAGAACACAGCAGACAGATACAGTCTAGACTCTAGAGAGGTCTTGTCCGATAATGACCTCAGACGACTGGCTGACTAAATCTGGAAAGTGAGAGGTCAGATTCAGCCATACCAAACCGTGCGTGGCTTCCCGAAGTATCTGGTCCAACAGTGCGGCGAGACGCAGTCGAGAAAGTCCTTGTCTGAG